CATCTGGGTTTCTTTTAGTACCAGGGGCAATACATCTCTCAATACTAGTTGCCAAGTAGCATGAGTAGGAAGATACTGTCAGTTACCGCGGGGTGGGGTTGTCTCCTATAAAGCTCCTTATGGATAACCCATAGATTTGTGTCCTTTACACATCTGACAGGGAATTTATTTATGGTCTCAGAAGGTATCGTACCTCATTATGTTTGTTTTAAATCTTCATTCCTGGATACCTTGTAATGTGTTTGTCTTAAAAGTTCAAAAATGAATCCTTTTCTTCTTTAAAAGGTTTATTTAGCAAACAAGCAACTAGCTAAAAGCCAAAATTATAAAATATACTTAAAATATATGTAAAACTCATATGAGTGCATACTTTCAGAACCACAGCCTTCTATTACATATTTCCGTAGTTTATATGTGTAAACAGTACTTCTCCTATGTTAGAAAAGAAACTTTGGTTCTATTAAAATAAGAGCTTCTGCATAGGCATTGTATAGGTAAAGCTCAGTGATTCAAAATACGAAGCAAACAGGTTCTCTACAGCAGTGGTCCCCAACCTTTTCTGAACCATGGACCGGTTGAGGGGGTGGGTCTGTGCGCGAGGGACTCATGGGTGGGTGGGGTATGCTCACGCTCATGCGCAAATTGGTGGGGTGCGCTCTTGCGCATGCACAGGTGGGCAGGGCACGCTCACATGCAGGCATGGATGGGCAGGGTGAACTCGCAGATGGATGGGGCGTGCTCATGGGTGGGTGGAGCACCTGTGCGTGCAGATGAGTGGGCCGTGAGTGCATGTGGGCATGCATGGGGGGAGTGTGTGCAGGGTGGCAGAAGATCTGTCTCCGCGGCCCGGTCCAGCAATGGCCACGGACTGGGGGTTGGGGACTCCTGCTCTATAGTAAAAGGCTGTTTTCTTAGATAACTCTCATTCAGTCACTTAAAAACAAACTATTGCAATACAAATTGTTACGAAAACAATTCTATCAAAGCATAAACAAGAACATTTGCAAGCATCGGATTCGATATTTTTCACCCAATATTGTCCCAGCAGAGATGTTGTAAAAACCAGGTGGCTTTGAGTTTTGGAGATGTCCTTCTGAACATGGTGAAAATATCTGTTTTCATACACTTGGTGTTTCTTAAACAAAACAATTATGATACCAAACTTTGGCATTCCTGTGGGTAAATGATGTCGGCTTGTCCAGATAGCTGTAGGTCGACTCAGCTACCTGCCAAGATAGTTTGTCCGGAAAAATGCTCCTCTTAAAGTCCTTAATACCATATTTGGGCTATATAATACATTTTGAATGCCAACTTCCTGCATTTTACATGTTCTGTATTTCCTAGTCAAACTCCATATTTAAGTTTTCCTGCCATATAAATTCTCCAAAACCTATATTATTGACAGTACTGTTGAACTTCTGTCCCACCATAGGCTTTTGGCTGGCCTCTAGATGACAAAGAATACCGGGCTAGACAGACCTTTGGCTGCTTCTAACATTAGGTGTTTGTATGTTCTTATCTGCTGTTGCCGGACTGCATGGAGAGGTTTTAGAGCGCTGGGCTCTAGCTTATGATTTTTAAAAAACCTGATAAACAGCATCAGGTGATGGTATGTGTGATGCTGTGCCTTTTCTATACCAATTTAGAAATGTTGTCATGTTATCAATATGAAAACACTTTATTGGGCTTGCTTTATTATGGTTTGAAATGAAATACTGTAGTACTTCCTTGTAAAGTGTTCTTAGCAATTGATACATACCCTGTGTCTTTTTTTAAAAAATTGCTCTTCATGTTCAGTGCATTGCTTTAGGTAGACTCAGAGGTGGGAAACATTTCTTTTTCTTTCTTTCTTTCTTTCTTTCTTTCTTTCTTTCTTTCTTTCTTTCTTTCTTTCTTTCTTTCTTTCTTTCTTTCTTTCTTTCTTTCTTTCTTTCTTTCTTTCTTTCTTTCTTTTGGAACACAACTGCTGTACTTCCACAGCAAACAAGGCCAGGACTTAGGTCGACTGGGTGACTTCAGGAAGCTATAAGCCCCCAAATGAACATTTCCTATTTCTAGGCAGACTTGTGTACAGAAGTGGCATGTACAAATAAAAGAATAAGTAGGTTTGTTTGTTTTTTATGTTGCAAAACCTAAAAGGTACCTGGAGCTGCCAGGAACAATCTCGCTTTCCATCCCCAGCTCATCCCTGTTAAATTCCATCTTCATCTCACCCTGTTCCTCTTCTCTTATGCAAATTGTTTGCATTTTCTTTTCTGTTTTTTACATCTGCAAATTAAATCCAAAGAGACACATTGCGAGAACTTTGGTCCTAAGGTGCAGTCCTGCTGATTTCCGCTTTTTGTGAGCTAATGTTCAAATGACAGACATCAGGGATCAAGGCTATCTGGAAATCATAGCCTCTGTCTTCGCCTCCAAGTTGCTCTCCTGCTTCTTCCCCATCCATGCAGACTCTGTAGTTTTCTCCCTGTCCTTAGACATGGAAAAGCAGTTGAAGGGGGTATACTGATCAACGAAAAAGCCTTGGGGACAGAAAGATTATCCTTCTATCTGCTACGTGGTTCCAACAGTCCATTCACATCCTCTTGAAGCTGCGTGCTAGTAAGAAGGGACAGAAAGGAATAAAGCATAAGTCTCTTGCGTAATGTTTACTTTGGCCCTAAGCCTTTGGCTGTTGCAGGTTGTTTAAGCAGGAAGCAAAGAATGGAGTGTGGCCTCCCATCCATTACATAAATGCCAAGCCCCAAAGCGGGCTGGGCAATAAAGCAGTTCACAGAGAAATACGAGCTGCACACCCCACTTCCAGTGCTTTGCGTTTTCATAAGTTCTGGTAAGGAGAGTAGCAGGAGTTGTTTGACAGGGTGTAAGGAACAGGAAAATCTCATGCATGAAAATTAAATGTACCTCTTCTGTCTTCTCATGTCATCTTGGATACATTTTTTAAAAAAACTGTTTTTAATTCATTTGTGTGTTTAATATGATAATGACTGATATCCTGTTACTTTAGCATAGTAAGTTGCACTACAGTAGGCCAACGGAATCAGTGGGGATTTGGTGAGTCTGCTCCTCTGGAAGTTCCACTCATTCAAATAGGCCTACTCTTAATTGCAACTTGCTACATGAACCAACAGGATTTCAGCCAACGTGTTGAAGAGGATGTAATGATTATAACTTGCTGTGTTCGTATTTCTGTCTGTTTTTATGTTAGAATGTAAACCACCGTTTGGAAGAAAGTCAGGATACAAATTGGGGTGGACAATGTCTGGAGCCACCCTGCGTGTCTCATATTGCTAAATTGTGGATTTTGAATCTTCCCTTTTCCCAGCCTATGGACCAGAGCACTCCCCTCCCCTCAACTGGAAGTTAACTCAGTATTATTTCCCCCCCTTTTTTTTCAGTGATAGTGGTGCTGAAGCTGAGAAAATAGCATTTTCTTTTGGCTGAACTCTTGAGTTTATGACAGAGGGTCAAATTTCATGTTGGGAGAACCGTGTACAGTAGTTAACACTGTTACAATGCTCTCCCTCCAGACATGCAATCCTTCAAAGTCCCATTTGAAAGCTTGACCAATCAAACTTGCAAATAAGCCACATGTTTATCTGCTGATGATGACCAATCCCATAACAAGTTTGGATCAATTTGCAACACAGAGAGGCAGGGTATCTCACGCTAGTATAATGGTTTTCAATGCATTCCTATGGGAAATGCAGATTTGACCTGAGAACTTTTTGACTTGAGAACCGCCTTCCAATACGGATTAAGTTCTCAAGTCAAGACGGCACTGTATGACCATTCTTAGACCCTGGAGGATTACACCCACTCCCTCAACTCCCGCCATTCCATTTTCCCACCACCACCTCTTGTCTTTCTAGTGGCCGAAACAACATCATCAATGACACCGTTGGAGGAGCGTAGTGCTCAGCTTGTGGCAAAAAAAGCCCCTGCGTGTCTCATATTGCCAAATTGTGGATTTTGAATCTTCCCTTTTCCCAGCCTATGGACCAGAGCACTCCCCTCCCCTCAACTGGAAGTTAACTCAGTATTATTTCCCCCCCTTTTTTTTCAGTGATAGTGGTGCTGAAGCTGAGAAAATAGCATTTTCTTTTGGCTGAACTCTTGAGTTTATGACAGAGGGTCAAATTTCATGTTGGGAGAACCGTGTACAGTAGTTAACACTGTTACAATGCTCTCCCTCCAAACATGCAATCCTTCAAAGTCCCATTTGAAAGTTTGACCAATCAAACTTGCAAATGAGCCACATGTTTATCTGCTGATGACCAATCCCATAACAAGTTTGCATCAGTTTGCAACACAGAGAGGCAGGGAATCTCACACTAGTATCAACAGACATCTTACACCTCTTGACAGATCTCTGTTTTTTATAGCATGCTTACTGCACTATCTAGAGAAGAGCTGCAACTCTTAATTTTGGTGCCCAGGGCAACCTGGCTTCATTGCCCACCCATTCTGACCTGAGGTTCCAAGCCTCTGACAATACGGGCTGGGGTTAATGGGGGGTCGACTCTGACAGCATCAGAAAGGCTTATAGGATGCCCAGCCTTGCCTTAGTGAACCTAGCCCAATATCCATGTAGTTGAGCATCTTGTCTTCCATCGCGACCAGCCAGATGTTTGTGGGAAACCTAGACATAGGTCTTGAAGGACATAGGGTGCTATTCTAGTTTGCCATCAGTTTAGTGCTAAGCAAACATGGGTTCGAATTCACACTTGGTCATGAAACTCACCAGTCTTTGACCAGTTACTACCTCCTAACCTAACCATCCTCGACAACCAAGTATGAAGACAGGAAGGATCATGTACAACATTTTGAACTTCTAGCAGGGCAAATCAGTATAATACCTTTAAAAATGCTATCAGTAAGTGCCTACGACCAGTCATGCAGAAAGTTATGCTGTTTTTTTAGAGTTAGACCAGGACATGGTCACATGCTCTCATAAATCTCTTTTATAGCACTCTGTTCTTTTGTTTCTTCAAATCTAGGTCTTTCGCCTTCTTGCCTTCCACAGGTTGGCTAAGTGACCTTTGAGAAACCATTGATATTTAATTCATTCTGGTGAAACAAAAAGATGAGAGTGACAGGTAAGAAATGAGGCTGCTTGCCTTGATGCAAAATGGCCTTGGGTTTTTGTGTGTGTTTTTTTCTTTACATCCTGCACAGCTCCTTCCTCACAATCAGTCCCTTCCCTGCCCAGTTTGGGTGTTGCAGAGCGTAGCGGAAAGTGCCATGAAGAGCCTGAGGAAAAGCAGGGGTCACGCCCTTGTCACCTTCCTAATTTTCACAAAAGGGATTCATTTGGGACCTTTAACATATGACAGTTAAAGGTCCCAAAAGTAGTTTTGTAAGTTATCAAAAACAAGCAGGGGGTGCTGCATGAATAACTAGGGGGAAAGCGGGGGGGGGGCTCATATGTAGAAAATGGCTACAATTTTTAAGCTGCAGTGCATGTCAGGGAGGGGCAGACACTCATCCTCCCATACCACAAAATTATTTTTCTAACAGGAACATTGGTGTCTACATGCTATTTCAAGGGAGGCTGGGCGTTTTTAAGGGTGTGGGTTAGTTTTATTTGATGACTACTGTAGATCTGACTCACTTGTCATTTCCTGATTTGTTTAAAAAAAATACAAATAAAAAGCGATTTCACATCTCTTTCCTTTACCCCCCACCTCTGGTAACTTAAAAATAGTCCTCTGTGCCTCTCAAAGACATCAAAGGGCAGGACTGGCCATGTGAATAGCATTTTTTTTTTCCACAGCAGCAATAGCAGTGAGTATAAGTGAGGCTCAAGGGAAGTGGGCCCCAGAGAAATGGCTGCCAATTGATTTTACGCCCTCCAGTACACACTTCCTCTTTTAGCTCCATGGGAATAGGGGCTGTTTAGAAGACATGGCTAGGGAGAAGGCTTAAATCTCCTCTATCTATGCTTGATGGTCCCAGTCCGGGGATCACGTCAATACAATATCACTAAAGTAAAAGAGAAGTTAACTTCACTGTATTCTGCTCATTTAACACAGAATGTAGCTTCAGACTTTTGGCCCCCTCTTCTTGAGGCCAGATTACAGAGAGGGTGTTAATTGCTTTGATGTGATGTTAATATCTGGATGTATTAGCAAGGCTGTCTAAACTTGTGATCTGAGTCCTGCAGCCTTTTGCTCACAGAAATTTAACTTTCTTCTTGCAAAGTTTCTCTGTGGAAATTCCTCCACCACCCCCCAAGAAATTTCACAAGTAATCTCAAGGGATTCTGTGGTGTGTGTGTGTGTTGGTTGTGTGTGTGTGTGTGTGTGTGTGAGTGAGTGAGTGAGAGAGAGAGAGAGAGAGAGAGAGAGAGAGAGAGAGAGAGACTAGCCTGTTTCCCTGAAAAAAAGATCTATCC